CATCCCAGGACCTTGGGATCATGACCTGAGCCGAAGGCAGATGCTTAACGACTGAGGAACCCAGGTGCCTTTTTTTTTTTTTAAAGTATTTTATTTATTTATTTGTCAGAGAGAGAGTGAGCGAGCACAAGCAGGGGGAGAAGCAGGCAGAGGGAGAAGCAGGTTCCCCACCAAGCAAGGAGCCCAATGCGGAACTTGATCCCAGGACCCTGGGATCATGACCTGAGCTGAAGGCAGACACTTAACCGACTTAGCAACCCAGGCATCCCAGAACATACAATTTTTTATCTCAGGTCACGAGTTCAAGCTCCACGTAAGAAAGGAAAGGAAAAACGTTAAGGGAAAAAGAAAGGGGAAAGGAAAGGAAAGGAAAGGAAAAAGGAAAAAGGAAAAAGGAAAGGAAAGGAAAGGGAAGGGAAGGGAAAAGAAGAGAGGAGAGGAAAGAAAAAGAGAAAAGGAAAGAAAAGAAAAAGAAAAAGAAATTAACTAGTAAGAAGACTGAATGAGTAAACAAAAACTTCCCCACAAAGAAAAGGCCTGGGTCCCAATGGCTTCACTGGCGAATTCTACCAAACACTGAAAGAATTAGCACCAATCCTTTTCAAATTCTGCCAAAAAATTTGAGAGAATATACTTCATAACTCGTTGTCCAGATATCAAAGCCAGATACTAGAAGAAAGGAAAACTACAGACCAATATTCCTTATACACTTGATGTAAAAATCTTAAACAAAATACTAGCAAACTGAATTTAGTGGCATATTAAAAGAATTATATACCATCACCAAGTGGGATTTATTCTAGCAATGCAAAGATAGTTCAATACAAAAACTGACCAATGTAACACACCATATTAACAGACTGAAAAACCACATGACCACCTCAACCAATGTAGAAAAAGCATCTGACAAAATTTAACAAACTTTCATGATAAAAACACTCAACTAACTACAAAAACAAAAAAACTACTTCAACATAATAAAATCCATATATGAAAAACCTACAATGAACATCATACTCAATGGTAAAAACCAGAAAGCGTTTCCTTTAAGATCAGGAACTAACCACTTCTAGTCAACACAGTACTGGAATTTCTAGCCAGAGAAATTAGGTAAGAAAAAGAAATAAAAGGGATCCAAATTGGAAAGGAAGAAGTAAAGTTACCTCTATTTACAAATGATATGATCTCATATGTAGAAAACCCTAAAGATTACACACACAAAAAACTGTTAGAACTAATAAATTCAGCAAAGCAACAAGATACAAAGTCAACACACAACTAATCAGCTGCATTTCTATACGCCAACCAATAAACAATCTGAAAAAAAAAGTACGAGAACAATTTTATTCAGAACAGCATCAAAAAGAATAAAATACTTATGAATTAACTTAACCAAAGAGGTGAAAGACTTGTATAACAAAAATTACAAAACACTGCTCAAAGAAATTAAAGAAAGCATAAATAAATGGAAAGACATCCCATGTTCATGGATTGGAAGGCTGAGTATTACTAAGATGTCAAGACCATCCAAATCAATTTACAATTCATTGTAATCCCTATCAAAATTTGAACAATGTTTTTTGCAGAAATAGAGTAAAAACCCATCTTAAACTTAAACTGAATCTAAAGTACCCTGAAGAATCAAAACAATCTTGAAAAAGAAGACCAAGGTTGGAAGACTCACACATTCTAATTTCAGAAACTACAGTAATCAAAACTGTGTGGTACTGACATAAATCAAACATATAGGGGCGTCTGGGTGGCTCAGTCGTTAAGCATCTGCCTTCGGCTCAGGTCATGATCCCAGGGTCCTGGGATCGAGCCCCGCATCGGGCTCCCTGC